AGTGATCAATCACTACACATTGCAGATTATTACCTTGTCAGCAGTTGATACACAGGTGTCATTCTTCATGATGCTCTCAATGATTATCTTCGCCATGATCTTATTTGTTTCAGCATCAAGGTGATCCATGACACGTGGATAATTTGAAAGAGTTAGAACTGTCACAATGTCAGTGTATTTCTCCAACGGTGCACTCAGGAGAGCAACAACTTGTTTTGTCGCTTTACTATCCTCAAGCTTTGCTTTACCAGAAAGTTTCTTGACACATGCTCCCTACCAACAATCAGGAAAGTAAATCAAGCAGAGAAATGTTATCCCATACTTCTTCCCCCTGTAGCTACCAACTCTGCTAGGATTTCCTAATCTAGTGTGTTTAATGCTCCTACCGACCACTAAATTGATCAAAGAAATAACTGCCCTCCTCTCACCAAAAAAAGTGACCACATGTTACGCATCAACTGGCTTCATAGAGCTCAGAGAATAACAACAGCAGTTTCGATGCTATAACCTCCAAAATTCCATAGTGTCTTGTAACTTTGATTACCAAATTGACAAGAACATACCAGTACTTGATCCACGTAGTCTAGTCGATCAGGATGAACACGGAGAGTGAAGGTCAGTAGAGATACATACAAAGAAATGGCTCCAACAACTGGCATATCAATTTGTGCATCAATGACCTGCATATTAAGGAACCTGTTAACCAGTTGAGATGCTAATGTCAGGTGTTCTAAATCATAAATCCTAGTCCTGCTACAGACTGAAGTTTGCCTATAAATAAAAATCCAACTACAAGTTACAAAACTGGAGAGTAGTCAACTTTGTTCAGAAATCAGATTTACCTTCCCGATGGCACTGCTTAGCTTGGCAAATGCTTCAACTTGAAGGAAGTCAGGTAACACCTAAATAATCAAAACTTACACCTAAATAAGAGAAGAAAGGAGGAAAATCTCAAGGCAGAAGCCATTAAACAATTATTTACTTACTTCGGGACTTGAATCAGCATAGTTTGACAATCTGTCCATCAATCGTGACAGCACAGTCTTAACGTCAACAGCAGGCTAAATGAAAAAATGAAATAAAGAAGTATATTTTCAAATTTATCATCGAATTTAATGAAGTAATATAATCCATCTGCTGTGGATTGTTCTTTCTTCCTTCTTGTCTGGGAGATGGGATAACATGTCGAGCAAGGGGATGATAACATATAAGCATCCACATGCTCCTACAACATCAACCACCAGAAGATTTGAACAAACTGTTAAAACTACTACCAAGACCCCTAAATGTTTAAGCTCCATACTTACAGAACACACTAAACTTTGTAGATCACAGAAACGCTAATTCTATTTGCACACATTCTCCTCCGAGAAGGAAAAATTAAGCCGAGAACTGCAAGCCGCTTTCCAACGTAATACAGTTATTCTAGTGAATGAGGAGCCTATCTTGTCCACTTAGGTTAGAGCAGGACGAAAAACAAAAAGCTCTTCCCCCTTCCCCGCTCTCGTAAGACAAATAAGAACAGCTGTAAAACATTAACTAAAAACAAGTTGGAGCCACCAGCATACACCATGTATATAATCTTATTCTTCTTTCACAACAGTAATAGAACTGAAAGGCAGTCAAAATAGGTTAAGGTGGACAAAGACAGAAAGTGATGTAACAAAAATGCTGCCTATTTGTGTTTTTCCTTTTTCATTTCCTTTAGTAAGATATGTTTTATATATACAGTTTATATTTGCGAGAAGAATGGATATGAAGATGCAACAAAGAGTAGCAAAGGACAGGACACAAAAACTTATCCTGCCAAAGAAGTTGTGTATATTTTTGGTGACTTACTTGGAGTTGCGGACAAGCACCCAATAAGGTTTCAAGTGTCTGCAAGTGGTACTCATCTGGAAAGACCTGAATTATGCAGTCCATCAGATAATACTGGGCAATCTCATCCTTACAATTGACAACCTGTGGGAACATTTAGCTGCATCTTGAGAGCGAATTGCTACAAGAAAATAAGAAAAGTTTAATCATGTTAAATTTACCTGCTCCAAAACTCTGGGCAGAACCACATCCTTGTACATTTCAAGATCAACACCCTCTATCTGACTAAGAACGTGCAAATTCTTCCCGACCTAAAATATGAGAGGTACAGCTGAAGATCGTATTTCTGAACCAAGCCATAAGGATCTTGAAAGGAGAAAGTAAATGATTGAGCACATTGGTATTACAAGATCACGAAGTTCGCTCCTTTCTTTTTCCAGTTTCTCTTTCAACCTGACAGGTCCCTGCAGACCATAAAGCGCGAAGAATGCCTCAACTCAGGATCACCAAAGCAAATGAATGTATCACAAGCACTATAACACCTGCATGGCCAAAACATGCCTCCATGACTCATTTTACCTTCCTAGCATGCAAATGCACAGATGCCATGCATGTCAAAAGTAAAAGCAAAGTAACAGTTCAGAAGATCCCAACGTACATGATGCTGCATTCTAACCCAAAGTTTATTCATCTCTGTGAAGTTCTGCAGCACAAAATCTACAGCATCCATGACGGTATCGCCTTCTCTGCATGAAGAACAGTGTGAAGCATCTCAGAAGATCATCCGCTAGGTTAAACTAGAAAAGTGAAAAAAAAATACTCAATTAAACAAAAGACAAGGATCTTAGAGATGGATGCAATACATTGGCTCTACACGCATACTTAAATAGGTAGGTAACAATATACATAAGCAATGTGTGTGCATGCAGCTCTTGTGTGTTTGTTTCAAGCAAGTGAACAAAGATGTACTTGCAGAGCTGACGTGATATGATGGGCAACCTAAACATCACGCAATCCAAGTATGAGTAATCAACAGATTTACCCTTCATACTCAGAACCTAAGTCTGGCAATTTGTCTCTGGTAATTTGAGCAAGATAACTCCTCAAGAAGAGACCACGTGTCGGATGCTGAACACCACGACACATTTCAACAAGATCCTTGAGAATATCTTTAGCAGGAGCCTCTTTTGATTTGATGTATACAGATCCTACTGTACATAGGAGATACCTGAAATATTACAAGATAAACTTCCATCAGATATCTTTTTTATATATATAAGGTAAACTTCCATCAGACATCTGATTCTTCAAGAATAACAAGGGCGTATGAGAGAGGAAACAAAGAGCAAGAAAAGGAAGAAATATCGAGCCGCTATCACTCGACTCCAAAACAATATTAACTCGTGGCATGAGCAATTCACAACCACACAGGAGATGGAAAAACAGATTTACCGATATAGCTGTTGCCTACCTAGATGTCGGGGGTGACCTCATTAAAAACCGGGTGATGTGGGCATTGCCTTCACTTGGAATTTGAAGATTTTAAATAATGGTGTTTGTGAAAATTCTTGGTAGCTACATCACCTTAATATACCCACTGCCCTGTATCAGAAGGACATGTCGAGGACTGAAAATGGTTCATAAGGAGTATTCAATTCATAAGGACCCCGCGTGAACGCGGGATGCTTCGTGCACCAGGCTGCTCTTCTTTATATAACATATTCCCACTGCCCTGCATCAGTGGGACATGTTCTAAAATGTAAACGGCTTCATATACAGTTATCAATTCCACGCCTTCGGATCAGATTCCAAGAAAACCCTACCCTAGCTAACCACCTCTCCAACTCAGATCAGATAAGGTCTTCAGCTCTCCTCTCATATCAGATCAATATAAGTCTCTCCCTTCTTTGCTGCTCACCTTTCTCTCTTCTCTTATATTTCATTTTTCTGTGTTTTTCTTTCTTAGAATCACTGACACAGTGACACTCGCACCAACTATTCTTCATCAACATCAGGTTACAACACAATTATTTCTTCTAATTTATTAAATAGGTGATTTAGGATTTTATTGCTTAATTTTGTGTTTTTGTTTCTTTTTGCACTTATGATAACGCAAATGATTTTGCTTTTAAATTAGCCTTTTCTTGTGAAGTTTTGCATTCTTCTATTGTTAGTATCATTTGCAAGACTGCAAGTTTTGCTAAAGAACACATGTTCCACTTTTTAAGCATTGAAATTGCTATTAGTTAAAAAAAGTGTTTATTTACTCTTTGTCTCTTTCATAGTCCTTTAATCAGCTTCTTTCCTGCAAACCAATGGTCGTAAATACTCTTGAGGAATAAAGAAAAAAGAAATGAAAAACTGTTGACCAATAATTTTTTTTTTTTTTTTTGACAAGGTAAATAATTTTATTGATATAAGGGAAAAAAACTCCCATATACAAGAAGTACACCAGAAGTAGATAATCCACATTAAAACATGATGCTCTACAAAAGATACCCAGTCATCAATAGATTGGGTAATCTAACTTCATATGTAAAGCAAATTGCAAAGAGAAAAGTACCGATTGGTTAATCAAAAGACTAGAATGAAAACGCAAAATCATTTTATAGAAAATGGGGAAGAATGACAATTGTTGAAGAGGAAATCAAAATTATCTGTATGATTTTAAACTTTCCGTCCCCAGTTACTTGAGTTTGGACATGTATTTGGTTAAGTTGAATACTGTACCATGTTTTAGTTTTAGAAGTTAATCAGCATGGTAAGTGCATCAGCACCTCTTAAGATTACTCCGAAATGCTTGATATTTATATGTATGGTGGCATCAACATATGTTAGTTTCGCTAGAACTTCATGAAAGTGGTTCTCTCGAGCCCGTGCTTCTGTATGATCTGTGAATGCAATAGGTTCAGTTTTTTCTACTAGCATGAAAGATTCTCTTTCATGGGAACTAAAGGTGCTTAAGTGTGTTGCCCAAAACATCTCTCTCTGGAAAACTCTCTGGCTTCCCTGGTAAGTGTTTCTTCTTTCTGTTTGTTTTTTGTAGGTGATTGTAAAATATTTTTTATCCTAACTAAAATATCGGAACTGAGCCTAGCTTTTTTTGTTTGGTGATTGGTTAATCTATCTACGAACCAAAAAGTTGCCTGTACTGAGTACTGACTGAATGCACGCGATACTCCTACTAAAACTCTGTGGCAGATCTTATCTTAAAGACAGATGTATCCACTGGCTTCACATCCTAAAGCCTGCCACTGCCCCGTGCATAGTCAGAGATCATCGACTCTATAAGAAACTGAACATTCTCAATAACACAAAATACACCAATAAAGAGAAGCACATAAAAGAAGAATGACATCAAATTTATCCCACAATATTAAATTTCAAGTTGAGCATAAAAATCATATTTGAATAACCAATTTTACTTCTTAACTATGTTCATTTGATTCTAAGATACTATGGAACAACATAAGTAGCCAATTAGCACACAGCAAAACCGAGCAACTGAGAATTTAAGACACTGAACATTTCATCTGAGACTTACAACCGAGGCAATATATTTCCAGCATGTTGAACGAGTTCATATAAGTTAATAACTGAACAACCATGTCTATCTTCTTCTCTGAAGAACATCTCCAGCTTCCTCAATTCATCAAAAGCTCGCATATCTACCACAAAGAGCACAAAGCCAGAGAACAAACATGAAGTAACGAACATAGAATCTTTCTCCAATTCAAGATGTTTGACAATTTTTATTTTCCAACATTCAAACTGCGTAAACTAACCAACATCTTTTTTCTTAAGAAAAAAAAAATCACCATTTTGATATGAGGAGAATTGCAACTTAAGTAACTCTTCTTATAGTAAAATATCTAAGTTTTTATTTATTTTTAACAGAAATGAACTAATCCAGTCCAGTAACCTAAGTTAGTCAATTTAACTTTCTTAAGTGAAATATGCAACTTATAGTACTTTTCGTGTACTTTCCAAATATTCAAATTTAAATTGTTTTTGAAATGAATTAACTAAGTCCGATTTAGCTATAAATATCTAAAATTTAATTTTTAAAAACTGAATTAATATAGTCTGATTAAAGTTAGTAAAATTGGCTCTCCATAAGCAAAACTGCCAAACGAATTAGAATAAAGAGAGTACACGTTTATAAAATCCGTTTAAAAAGTGAATGAGTATGACCTGATTTAGCTTGACAGTTAGTCAATCTGACTTTCCATAAGAAAAAACTGTACATTTCGTGCAGTTTCCAAATATTTAATTTTATTTTTTTTGATAATGTTAAATTTTAATTTTTTTAATGATTTAACTTAGTACAGTTTAGCTTCAAATATCCAAATGTAATTTTTAAAAACTGAATTACGTCGGATTTAGCAAGAAAATTAGTAAAATTTACTCATCATAAGCAAATGCCAAACAAATTGTAATGAAGAGACTCAGCTCGAAACTGAATTAATTCAGTAAAAATGAATTAATAGGATCACATTTAGCTAGAAATTAGTCAAATTGAATTTTCATAAGCAAAAACTGCCAAAAAATTGAAAAGAAAAAAGTCGATCAAAAAAGATGTGTTGACTAGAAATTTACAGAGCTCATAGTATTTGTGCGGCGAAAGTTTCGAAGTCCGGAGCTCAGATAATAATAATGCAGAATACTTCAATGCTTCTCGAAGATTATTCGAATCCTGAAGGAAAATCAGAGTGTTGTTTTGTCAATTTTGAGTAGTTTAGGGTTTTGGATTGAATTTTTAGAGGAAAAAAAATGAATTTTTTACCAAAGCACGAGACATGTAAAATGCGTTGTGTTGAATAGCGGCGATGCCTTCCGCTAGCCATTTCTCTTCGTCTTCGATTCCTTCGGTTGCTATCATTTGCTCTTTTTCTCTTCTTCTTTGTTGCTTGTTATTTGGGTTCAGTTTCAAATTGATTCAGTTTTGTGTGACAGCGTGAATTTGTTTACCTGACAACTCATCGACCCAGGTGCCTTCCAAAACCGGATACTTATTGGTGTCTAATATTATTTTATTTATGGAAATATATTTGAATGGGAAGTTATTACTTTGTGCTAAGTAATTTTTCCCTTGTACAGGAGTTATATTCCATTACACATTATCTCAAATTAATAAGAATTATCTTTTTTTTCTCTGCAAATTTTTATTATTTTATTTTACGTTGTCGGCACGAAATTCTACCGACTCAAGAAGCTCTTTGAGAAGACTAAGCAAATATGGATATATCTCAAAACAAACTTGGATCAAAGTTCACTTCTAAAAATATTTATTTAAAAAAATTGCTCATATACGACACATATAATATTCAAAGAGAAGAAATATTTCTCTCATTTAAGTATGTGTAAGGCAGAAGTTACTAAAATTTCTGATAGTAATAATTTAATCGAATGCTCTAGAAGAGCTACTATAACTCTGCCTAGGGAAACAATACTTATCATAGATAATGCAATATTCTCCCCAAGTCTAGGATGAACTTGTTGGCTTTTAAAGATATATTCGCCGAAATGGATATCTTGTTGAGATAATAGATGAGAATAATCTTGAATATCTCATCGTTACGAAGAATGTCTTTGGCCAGAAAAGAGTTATTGAGAAGTTTCAATCTTTGTCTCGTGGCCTATATTGGACAAGAATTATAGCTCGTTTGGCCAAGCTGCAAAAATCAGCTTATTTTGAGAAGTGCTTTTCTCAAAAATACTTTTGGTGAGAAACAATTTGTGTTTGGCTAATTAGTTTGAAAAAGCACTTATGAGCAGCAATTAGTGTTTGGTCAAGCTTTAAAAACTACTTCTAAGTGTATTTTTCTTAAAAGTGCTTCTCAAAAATGTGCTTTTGGAGAGAAACTACTTTTTTTTGCTTCTCCAAAACTGCTTCTGCTTCTCCTCAAAAACACTTTTTTTCCTTCCAGAAGCTTGGCCAAACACCTCAAATTTTGGCCAAAAGTGTTTTTGGCCAAAAATAAGCTTGGCCAAACAGGCTATTAGAGCCCGTTTGGCCAAGCTGCCAAAATCTGCTTATTTTGAAAAATACGTTTTTTCAGAAGTACTTTTTTTAAAAGTACTTTTGAAACAAAACTGTTTGTGTTTGGCCAATTCCTTTAAGAAGTACTTTTTGCAACATTTGGTAAATAAATTGTATTTGGCCAATCTTTCTAAAAAGTGCTTTTGAGTGTCAAATTACTAAAAAGAATAGTACCAAGGTCTTATAATTTTTTTTAAATAGAAAAATAAACTTAAATATTTATCGTAACAGACTTTTATTATTTTTTGCTTTATTTGATTAAAATATAAAGCATAAAGTAAACAAACATATTAAAGATTTAAAATTAATTTTACATATAGTATAATTATACCAAAGCATATGATATTATCTAGTATAATTACTTATTGTTAGATGATGATTTGAATAATTAAAATAATATCATTCAGTATAAATTAGAAGTCTATCCACGAATTACTATATAAAATAATAAGTAAAGTCACTCACATGTGATAATATTTTTAAATAATTTTATCTCTACTTCTATCACACAACGCTTCCACGTTAGTGGAAGACTAGCCTCGCATTTCTAAAGGAATATCAGAAGGCTCGTCTCCTTCATCAATCTCTGCAGTAATGACTTTATTAACATAATAGTTGAATTCTGTATCGGTAGAAGAATGTCGTCGGATGAAATTATGTATAGCCATGATAGTTGTAACTAGATGATTCTGAATGTCAAACTTGAAAGATGGTATTGAGCGTAATATATAAATACTTTTAAATATATAAAAAAATCATAAAAGAAATAGTTAAGTGTCACGACCCTGGTTCGTCCTCCGCGAACCATCGTGACGGCATCTAGTCTCTACGACTAGGTAAGCCTAAATTGTAGAAGAAAACCAAAATTTTGCGAAAAGTAAAACAACTTTAAACAGTAATAAAGTAATAACAGTGTTTAAATGTGCCACTCGGCATACACCATATTCAACTCTCAATACCAAAACATAAATCCCAGACCCGGAAACTCACGAATCACAAGCTAAGATAAATACTACATAGCTCTAACTCCGGAATGTCTAATAAGAATACAAAAATACAGAAGAGCTAAATACTAAAAGAAGGAATAGAAAGGGACTTCTCAGTCTGCGAACGCGGCAGATGTACCTCGAAGTCTCTAGAGTAGTCGCCTCCTTAAGGATGATAGGCCTGAGTAGAGGTATCTGGATCTGCACATGAAAAACATGCGCAGAAGGGGCATGATTACATCACAGCGGTACTCAGTAAGTGCCAAGCCTAACCTCGGTTGGGTAGTGACGAGAAAGGTCAGGGCCCTACTGAGATTAAATAAATATAAAGATAACAAGATAAGATAAGCAGTACAATTAAGAATCTACAATAAGAATCTATATAGGATAATAAGAGTACAATAACAGAAATAGAGATGAAGGCAAATCACAAGGAAGTACCACTCATAACAAGGATGATAACCGGGGATCTCTTGGTATCCTCAATATATGCTAGGGGTCTCTTGGTATCCCGAGGATCTCTTGGTATCCTCAATATATGTTAGGGACCTCTTGGTATCCCGAAGATCTCTTAGAATCCTCAATATACGTGCCAGGAATCTCTTGGTATCCCGAAGATCTCTTAGAATCCTCAATATACGTGCCAGGAATCTCTTGGTATCCCGCACCTCAGTTCATATCATAAATATGTACAGGGGATCTCTCGGGATGCCGTCCCGTAGTCCCAAAGTAAAAACACACAGCAGCAACATAAGAATACCCAATTAAGTTAAATTTTGTACCAAGTAAACAATTAATTCTAGCCTAACATGCTTCACGTAATGCAATTAAGGCAGTTGAAGCAAATAGGTAATTAAGTCAGCTAAACATGTTTTCTAAACTAGCAACATGCTAAATTCACAAGTAGAATAAAATAGGAAAAAGAACTCAATTAAAATACTTAAGGAAAAATCAGATTTTCAACAATTAGCTCAAGTACGCGCTCGTCACCTCACGTACAAGGCATTTCAATTATCAAATATATCATATCCTAAGGGGAAGGTCACCCACACAAGGTTAGACAAGCCACTTACCTCGAACCGGCTCAAAATAAATTCGAAACTACGCTCTTGCCACGAGTACTTGACTCCAAATGGCCAAAATCTATTCAATTCAATTTCATAACGTAAATAACACTTCAAGTAACTGATTCTATAAAGAAATTCTAAGCTAATACGCAAAATTATGTAAAATAACCAAAATGCCCCTCGGGCCCACATCTCGGAATCATGTAAAATTTATAGTTTCAGAATCCTCAAACTCTCACGAGTCTAACCATAGCAAAATTATCCAAATCCGATGTCAAATCCCCAATCAAAACTTAATTTCTTGGTCTAAGAACTTTTCCCCAATTTTCATACAAATTTTGAAATTAAAGGATGGATTCATATTTAGATTAATGGGTTACAAGAAAAAAGGAGTCTAGAATCATTACTCAATCGATATCTCTAAAAATCCCTCAAAATCTCGCTCAGATCCGAGCTCCCAAGCTTAAGTTTTGATAAAAATGGCTAAACCCTCGATTTTGAAATCTTATATCTGCCCAGACGTGTTCTTCTTCGCGAACGCGAGGCTACTATCCCGAACGCGATGCACAAAAGTTCTACTGGCCAATTTCCTCTTTCACAAACGCGAGGTCCACTCGCAAATGCGTAGCTTACACTGGCAGACCCTACGCAAACGCGAGGACCATGTCACGAACGCGAAGACCAACGGGTCCTTACCTTCACGAACGCGGGACATCATCGCGAACGCGAAGCATATTTCAGCTGTTTCTCCCAAAGGCTCTACGCGAATGCGAGACCCCCTCGCGAATGCAATGAATGTTTTCTCTGCAACACAACAGTAGAAAATCTGCAATCTTTCCAACTCCAAAATTGGTCCGCTGAGCATCCGAAATACACCCGAGGCCCCCGAGACCTCAACCAAACATGCCAACCAATCCTAAAACATCACTCAAATTTGTTCCAACCTTCGGAACGGTCAAAACAACATCAAAACACATATTTTTCATCGGATTCAAGCCTAAGAATTCCAAAAACTCTAAAAATACGCTTTCGATCAAAAAGTCTATCAAACCTCGTCCGAATGACCTGAAATTTTGCACACACGTCACATTCAACACTACGAAGCTACTCCAACTTCCGGAATTCCATTCCGACCCTCTGATCAAAATCTCACTATCGGACCAGAAACTTCAAAAATTCAACTTTCGATATTTCAGGCCTAAATTAGCTACGGACCTCCAAAACACAATCAAAACACGCTCCTAACTCCAAAATCACTCAACGGAGCTAACAGAACCATCAAATTTCTATTCCGAGGCCGTCTTCATACTGTTCCGATTATGGCCAACTTTCCAACACTTAAGCTCTCATTTAGGGACTAAATGTCCCAAAACTCTCCGAAACTCAAAATCGAACATCCCGGCAAATCAAAATAGCAGAAATAAACTCGGGAAAAGTAGTTAATTGGGGATCGGGGCGTAAATTCTTAAGACGACCGGCCGGGTCATCACATTAAGTATGCTTAAATTCTAATTCTAAAAGAGTAACTAATTATTAACAACACATAATGTATAATTTATTTATTTAAAAAAAATTAAACTAAATACAAATTAATTATTACCTTACCTTGCTAACTTTGTCCCAAAATGCCAAGTGATCTATTGTGAGGCTGCCACTTGACTTAATGTGGATGCATTTTCTTCTTCTTTTGATAATATATAGATAGATTATGAAATGCAATTATAAATTTATTACTTATTTGTAGGTCATTTTCACAAATTAGATTTGATAATTATTTTAAAGATTCGGGAGCTAATAGCATATAATAGAAGAAATTATAAATGATTATTTGTAGGAAGAGAATTGATAATTTGCTTTAGTTTGAAAAAAGAAGATTTAGAAAGTTACAAG